GCGTATTCCTCTGCGAGGACGCCCATGGCCAGGGCGTGGACACGCTTGGGAAGGCCGTCAGGACCCGGGGCTGTATTGCCCCTAAGGCCCTTCCTGACGGCCTTCCAGAGCTCCTCCGGCTGGACGTCCAGGGAGTCGTCCCAGTCGGGGGAGTCTTCCTCCGACTCGAAGGGTGGCCCCTCATCCACCCCGGTAATATCGGGGAAGAGGGCTCGCACCACCCTCCGGACGAATCCAACGTCCAGCCGCTCCGTCAGCGGGGGCGCCCATGGTCTCAACTTATTGAGTACCATCTTGTATGGGCGCCCCCACGGATCCTCCTGAAGGGAGTCGAGGAACTCCGTCCACGCCCTGCCCTTTGCCGCTCTGATGGCCCGTTTGAGGGCTACCTTGGTCTCAAGGTAGCCCTCTCTTGCTCTATCGGCCGCCTGTCCGCCTCTGCGCCTGCAGCGGGCGAGTCTCCTCTGCTGGTGGACGGCTCGTCGACGTAAGTCGGCGATCTCTGCCGTCCACCAGTAGACGGCCCGCTGAGGCCGAGCTTTGGACCGGGGCATCGCAGCGTTACACGCCGCTGTTAGCGCTGCCCTGATCCACTCGGCCTCTTGCAGGGAGTCCGTCTCCCGGGTCTCGGGGGAACCTCCCCGGACCCAACAGGCGGCCTCTAACGAGGCCATCAGGGCGTCCTCACAGAGTTACCTGAGGGCCCATCGCGGTCGCGTCTCCTGGCGGCGCACGGGGGAGAGGGCACCGAGCTCCACCGTTATGTAACGGTCAGACAGAGTCTCGGTGCCCTCCTCCACCCTCCACCCTGTGATAAGGCGCGCGGCCGAGGGGGTAGCCCACGTGAGATCCACGATGGACTCCCCCTGCTTCCGCACGCAGGTGGAGGTCCGGCCCTCGTTGACTAGGACCAGACCGTGCGTCGCCGCCCACTCATTCAGAGCCCTACCCCTCTCGTTGTCGCGCCGGGAACCCCAACTCGTGTGCCACGCGTTGAAGTCCCCGGCAACGAGGACCGGCCTTGGACTCAGACGCAGGACCGTCCGTCCTACGTCCAATAGCCAGTCCCTGAAAGGGGCAGAGCGTTTGGTGGGCCTCAGATAGACCCCCACGACCGCGATGGGCCCCCACTGCACGGCTACATGCCGCTTCCCGCTCTCGATGGGGGTCGTGCCGGGCCCTCCCGGCACCGACCGCCATCGTATCGCGACCGAGTCCCCCGCCTGCCTGTTATCAACAGGCCAATATGGGCTGTCTCTCGGGGGGCGGTGGGGCTCGGTCACGATCGCCAACGTGTAACCACTCTCCACCACGTTTTGTTGGAGCAAGTCTTGCGCCTGTGGAGAGTGGTTCACATTGGCCTGTATCAGGCCAAATCCGCCCAAGTTCGGACGGGGGGGAGAGCGAGGCATTACTCAGCCTTATTATCCCCCCCGTCCGATAGGGTGTCTACCTCCATGGCTTCTGGAGGTGAGGCCCCCTTCCTTGGCGCCCCGCTAGGTTGGCGCTGCGGCTGGGGCTCCTGTGCTGAGCCACCCGCTTCCTCCCCCCTCTCCTCCGTCGGCCGCGCTCCGG